TAGTGTTGTAGCTATGAGTGTCCTTTAGATAATGTATATATGGAATAAAGTAATCTGGACAGTGTCCAAACCTGATCTTATGTAATAGATCAAGTTTTCTGCTACGTATGATATCGTCTATGGGGAGCCATCCTAATTTAGTAAATAGCTTCACAAAGTTATCAGAAAACTTAGCATCAAGTATTAATCGCGCGCACCGTTTTTGCATTAATGCTATTCCTTTGTCAAAATCATGCTTTTTTCAGAAATTACGAATTTTTCAATATTTTGAAATTCTCTCAAAATCTGACCTTTTAGAAATAAAACAAAATGTATGTATAGCATAATGAGGATTAAAATTAAGATATTAAATCAATGAAAAAAATCCCGACAAAGTAATATGCCAGGGAGTCTTTGCATTTTTTTCGGTATTAGTCACATGACCAAGAGCGTGGCCTGATAACGTCATCACTGGTGTTATTGGTCATGAAAAAGTTAGAGCGGTTTTCAATTGAGTGTCGTAAAACCAAAACGAAACTAATTACTTACCAATCAGACTTCTCAGCTAATCTCAAACTGTAGTAAAACTAAAACCAAAACCAAAGTAATTGTCTAATTACTTTCGACACTCCATTGAAAACCGCTCTAAAACACGTGAAATAACACTGAACTAACTAAAAATGATGAGGTTATATCAAAATAATTTTTCCTTAGCAACGGCTCGAAAAGATCAGTTAATGGGCCCTTGAAGGCATCATGAAGGGCTTTTGTTGATCGATAATGATGAAAAAGTAGCTTCTTCTAAAAACCATGTCCGATTTAAAGCTAGAGTGCAAAAACCAGACCCTATTAATGATCAAAATGACTAAACTCGATACCCTATTTATGACCAAAACGGCTGAAAAACCATACCCTTTGAGGCCGCACATACCTATATAGCCCATATAGGGGAGTACCCCCCGGGTTCCGTCCCCACCCTTTAAGGTCAGGGCCAATTCGAAAGTGCGCATGCACCCGCGGTGTTTCCAGATAAATGTTTCCTCGTT